TTTGCCGCAGGAACTCTGATACTGAGAAGAGGTGCGTGCTGCTGTGTCCCGAGGGTATCGCGCTCGCCAACGCTGCCTTGGGGCCATGGTCGCTTGATAGTGCATTTCCAAGCAAGGGCGGGGTCAAAGTACATGTTAGTTAGGATATCGCTGTCGTCAACCCGGTACAACTTCTTGATCGTATCGTTGGTGAAGATGTTGGAGTCTTTGACGCGCGTGTAAACGGCAAGGTCGTCAAACATGACGTCAAACGTCATTTCAAACGGTCCAGAGTTCTTGGATCGAATGATGCGCGCAACTTCGTTGAGCGTGGTCCTCCCTGTAGGCACCTTCTTTTTCGTCAAAGGTGTGAGGGTGCCGTTGTCAAGTTCCTCAAACTTCTCCTTGGAGAGACTCGGCTCAGGGGTTATTGATGTCTTGGAAGAGCTGATGGACGTTTGCTGGACAGGGAAGATTGATGACTCCTCGCCTCCGTCCAAGTCAACCAGATGATACAGGCTGAACTTGAACACAGCCCCGGCATCCTGTTCGTGCGGCGACAAGGGGCTGGCAAAGTTTCCTGTCGTTGCGACTTGGTCCGGATACGCAAAATGCAGGATCGATGCCCGAACGTTGTTGGCAATTGTTTGTGATAACTCAGACGTGGGTGCAACGACCTCTCCCAGCACCGCAATCTCGTGGGGCCGACCCTGGACTGGCTCCAGAGGGCCCATTACGCCATTCTTCCCGTAGACGTGGTACAATAGTCGACACTGTTCCGTCTTGTCGAGCTCCGGAAATAGGTTCTGGGAATACTTGCGGACTCTTTCCAAGAAGTCGTCAATCTGGTCGATCAAGATAGGGTCTCGAATGCCGCCAATGAAGATAGTGCGATACCCGAGATGGGTGACGCCCTCGAGTTTGACCTGATAGGGCGTCGTCTCGAAACGGGCCCCGGATACACGACACGTCTTTGGGGTGACTTGTTCGTATTTGGCGTTGTCGAGGTTGAGGACGCCGCCTGGGCCGGGCAGACGGTCTGGTCTCGTCTTCTCGTAGAGGGTGTGCGCTGCTACGGAGAGAGGGGTGCATCGCTCTGATGGTGACAAGGGAGTGAGGTCAAATGACTCCTTTCTCATGGTCGCGACCATTGATCGTCCCTTGGGTACGGCACAGATGCCGCCGCATTCCATGATCTTGCCCATGTGCCATGCGACATCAGGCAGCACCCCTCGAGAGATTGAGAATGCGGCGAAGGGGGCAGGGTCATAGGATCTTCCACCTATGATGATGTCCGGGTCTCCCTTCAGTGCCTCGAGATATCTTTTATCTCCATGTTAGTCAAGAGTATCCAATCCCAAATTCCAGAAGACTACTTACGGCTCAGATCCCATTTGCGCAACGACATCCACAGCACTATCAACAACCTCGGACACCAAGGGCTCCACAGGGCCACACGGTCCGACTCGATTTTGGGATATCCTCGACTTGATCCATTCGCGATCCATACCCGCCTGAATCGTCGCTACTTTGAACAAGTAACCGTTGCTCTCCGTGATATCTTTGACGAGATCGAGCATCTCGGTAACGTGCTTGTTGCTGCCGTCGCCTCCAGCGGAACCAATTAGGACCTTGATCTTGTGGTGATAGCATGCTGCGAGGATGGGCTCGAGGTCTCGCGTGTAGGAGCCGCGGCCGCACGTCATCTTGCCCATGCCAAGCTTATACGGACCGCCATCTGTGGAGCCGCTGTCGACGATAATGACACTTGGCTTGTACTTGTTGATGCCGTACCAGAAATGATTCGAATCATACCCGTAGCCAAGCATGGCGTTCGGGGTGAGTATGGTGAACTCATCTGATGAGTTTGAAGTCGCCATTATGAAAGCTCGTGGTGTGCGCTCGACAAAAGAATGTTGAGATCCCGGTAACCCAGTGAGGTTGGTAGAAGTGAGGCTGGACGCGTCCTTTTTGATTAATTGTGTTGGAATCGCGACTTGGAGACCAATGGTGCGAGCACGGTCAATTCAAACAAATGCTGTCTTTCGGAAGCTCTCCGATATCCTCGGACGGTCTCTTGGAGAATATGACGTCCTTTCTTGACTTTCCGTTTGCCTATCCGGTTGGTCAGATTATGCTGGAAAGTCAGTGTCACAAGTTCGTTCGGGATCTTACACAGAGCTCGGCAAGTCAGTCCCATCTGCGGGGTTCTCCTCGGCATCTCTCCCTCCATCTTTCGGAATCTGATATGGCTTGGTTGTTCGGCATCTTTCTTGGACACATCCCTTTGACCAGAATTGCATTACCAACAATTCACGCCTTCCGATTTACCCCAGATTGCTCGGTATTGATACCGAGGCCTAGTGTGATGGCTTTCTTAGTCCATCCGCCTAGTATGAGTTGGCTTGAGGGTTCGGTGGGGGAGGGTTCCCCGTGGGGTAGGCAAACCTGTCCTCCAGATGTCTAACTGATATTTTGGTCATTGAAACAGTTTCACCGTGACTGGAATAAGTTGAACATAAGTCCATTATGGTTCCCAGTCGATAGTTGCGAAAATCCATCCCTAGGAAGCTCCTGTTGTATCTTTGAAACCTCGTCCCTCGGCTGTGTCGATTCTTGCCAATTTGCCCGAGAGTCTTTTCACAGTCTCTTGAGAAGACTTCGTCGTTGCCATGTCGGCTATGCGCCAAGAAGCAAAGCAGGATCCAACCCACGTCGAGAACGCCAAGCCTCCTTCTGGCGGTCAAATGGAAGAGATCGATATTGTCGAAGATCTGAAGCCGGCAGATGGCGCAGCCGCGGTCACTTGGACCAGTGAGGAAGAGGGCTCTGCTCTAAGAAAACTCGATTGGAGTTTGATACCTCTGTGAGTAGCCCTTGCACGTAGCAGAGCTTCCATTTGCTGACAACTTTTCTACATAGGCTCGGCGCTCTAAACTTCTGCTCTTATATCGATCGCGGCAATGTCGGAAATGCATACACAGCCGGAATGGGAAAGGACTGGGGGATCACTTCGGACGACTACTCTTGGATCGTGACCGTTCTTTACATTGGCTACATCTTGTTTCACTGGGTAATACTTCCTCTACAAACGCTTGAGTCTTCGACTTCTTGTGGCTGACCTTGCTATCCCGCAGCTGATCATAGTCTGGACTTTCGTCCCTTTACCGTTATGGACGGCGATGATGGTGTCTGGTTGGGGTGCCATGAGCATGCTCCAAGCAGTCACCACCAATCTTGCAGGCATGATGGCTTTGCGTTTTTTCATTGGAGCTTTCGAGGCTGGATTCATCCCAGCTGTCGCACTATACTTGACCTTCTTCTACCATCGCGGTGAGATGGGGCTCCGCTACGGGCTCTTCATATCATTTGCACCGCTTGCGAGTTGTGTTGCCTCTGCGATAGCATACGCCCTTTTGCACGTTAAAGCATCTATCCACAGTTGGCAGCTCCTCTTCCTCGTGGGTAAGTGCAACTACACGATCCTTCTACTCATCTGCTTGACTGACTTAAAGACCTTATAGAGGGCGCTCCTACGACTATACTCGCATGCGTGGCGTATTTTTACCTCCCTGCCTCCCCAGCCGAGTGTCGTTTCCTCAGTCCCCGCGAGAACGAAATCATCAGCCATCGCGCCATCAAAGGCCGAGGCGAGAAAAGAAGTGGAAAGCTCAATGGCAAGCAGGCTTTCGCTGCCTTCTTTGACTACAAGAACTACCTGCAAGCCATCATCATTTTCAGCCTCAACACAGCATTTGGGTCACTTCCAGCATACCTTCCCACTATTCTTGAAGCCATGGGCTTTACTTCCCTTCGTGCTCAGGGTCTCTCGGCTTGCCCCTACCTGACCGCGTATGTCGTTTGTGTCTCGGCTAGCTTTCTTTCGGATCGTCTCAGGAGCCGGGGTATCTTTATCGCCATATTCTGCTCTGTGGGTGCCATTGGCTACGTCTTGTTGGCAACAATTCACACCACTGGCGTTCGCTACTTCGCAACTTTCCTCGTTTGTGCGGGAGTGTTCCCGGCGGTTGCCATCACCTTTACGTGGGTGACGGATAACCAAGGCTCGGCATCTAAGCGCGGCGCAGGTCTGGCCTTGTTTGGTATGGTTGGGCAGTGTGGTCCCATTCTTGGAGCTCGGTTGTTCCCGAAATCAGCTCAACCTTGGTATTCAAAGGGCATGTGGATTTGTGCTGGGCTCTTGTTTGGGGCGGCTATTATTGCTGCCGCTCTCAGTCTTTGCTTGAGACTACAGAACAAGAAGCGCGACGAGAAGTACGGCAAGAGCGACTTGGATTATGTCCCCCCCGAGGTCTCCGAGGAGGGAGATGATCATCCTCTCTACCGATACGTTCCTTGATCTGAGCCTTTTTAGAAGTTCGGAATCACATAGACAGTTCACAGGCACTCTTAGTTTCCGGCCTGCTCTGCTGCAAGACTTCGGTACTTATCAAAAGAGGCATGAATTGAAGTCAATATAGTTGGAAGTCGTATCTTGTATTTCAATATTCTTCGTCTTGAAGCGTCAAGGTAAACATGTCTAAAGTCATTGCACCACCTTCACTCCAAGATTAAGTACTAGGCATATCACGAAGATCCAATATCTTGCTTGGGTTGTTCTTCGAGGGAGCTTTGGGACATAAGCTGGAATTATGTAGACATATTGTATATCACAATTGGGTTTAGGGCCAGGAAATGACGAAAGTTGTTTGTAAAACAACATGTCTCTCAGTCTCTCTCCAATATTCTCTGCTAACCAACCATTCGTGCATTCTTTCCTTTCCCCGATTACTATGTCAAAAATCTCATCGGTCCCCAGTGGATGGACATACTAGATATAGAAGTTGACGTAAAAGAGGTTGTGAGACGATGAGAATTCGAGAAGGCGTATGGCAATGGTTTAACTAAGTAGGTGGTTCCGCTCAGAATGTGGCGTGTTAGTAGCATCCCGTCGGCATCTTCTCGCTTCCCCGCTTGCGGGGAAATGCCGTGAGTATTCCTGCGGCTTCACATCTTACCCTCGCAGCATTCTGAGTATATTCGCCTCTAACGGCCACATTTTTGCGCAATCTCACTCTCTCCACGTTTCAACAGCACTGGATACTCCCAAGACGACGACGACCTGATAACTCTCTTTTGGTCATATGGCAGGCTCCGATGGCAGCGTAGATGCCGAAGCCGGGTTGCAAACACCGAGAGCACAGACAACCTCCACCTCGGCATCTTCTGCTGCCCGGAAAGCTCGCCGCTACGGATTCGCGTGCTCAAGCTGCAAAGCTCGCAAGGTCAAGTGCAGTGGAAATCGGCCCATCTGTACGGGATGCCGTCGGTCCGGGGAGACATGCAGCTGGCCGACGCAGACCTCGACGGAGTCTCGACTGCGAGAAGCAAATGCCCGTATCCGGAATCTAGAGGCCTCAATCAGGAGTCCGAATCAGTCTTCAAATGAGCCTCAGCCAGAACTCGAAACGCCTGATACCGACGCTACGAATGCTGGCACAGTTCGCAGCCACCCGTTATCTCATGATGGCAGTCGCTCTGCTGAAGCCGATGCAGACACTGAGGGGTCACTTTGGTTCCAGGTCGGCCTTGGAGAAGATGGTACTGTCATCTACAATGGCCCGACAAGTCGCTTTCATGCTGGCTCCCTCGAGGAAACCCACTTGACCGGCGAGCATCTGGATAGCGACCCCAAGCGAGCACAAGTAGAAGTTCTACAGTCTCAGTATGCTCTGATGGACTCTGTATGGCTGCCCCTCATCGCTGCGAAACCAGCAATGAACGGTACCGGCATTGACACCACTCTCGGCATGGCTCTGCTTGATATTTATTGGACGTGGCTGCATCCACTTCATAGCTGTGTCTACAGACCTATCCTGATGATGGATTTGGCTCTCGGGGGGCCATATTGCACCGATTTCTTGCTCCTATGCATCTTCGGTCTGGCAGCTCGGCATCTGCCAGAGCAAGTCACCGGGGCATCTGGGGTCGGGAGAGGCGATCATTTCATATCACGTGCAAGAGAGCTATTACTAGAGGAGATGACGGCCATGAAGCCAGCAATTCCTACGATTCAGGGGTTGCTGATTCTAGGTGGGCGCCAGTGTGCAATGGGCAAAAGCTCCGAGGGCTGGTTATACACCGGTATGGCGGTGCGAATGATGAAGGATATTGGCCTTCATCTAGACATCACTAAGCTTTCCAGGCTTGAGAGATGGACTCCTGCTGAGATAGAGACTCGAAAGAGGCTATACAACTCGGCTTATATCTGGGACAAGACACTGAGCCTAGCCTTAGGTCGCCCGCCATCTCTAATACGACGTCCTTACCCAGCTCAGGATATTCTGGACAAAGTTGATGATCAACGCTCATGGAAACCCGTCCAGGCTACTGAAGTCTCCGAGAACTTCGTTGCATCGGCCTCCTGGACGACGTCAACATTCTGTGCATTTTGCCGGCTTCACGAAGCTACAACTGATATGATGTTATTATTCTCAAATACCAGCCGGAATGAAGAGTTCATTACACAGATGGAGGAGCTCGATGGCAGGATATGCCAGTGGTATGATGAAATGCCGAGTCCGTTAAGGATTGAGGATGCATCCACGTTGGATCAAAGCCCTCCACCACATATTGTGTCTCTGAAGTAAGTTCTCATATCTTTGCCTTGGAATACAGTTCTAACGATCAAAAGCCTCCTCTATCATGCTTTACATATACTCTTGAGAAGGCCCTATCTGAGCTCTTCGGATACCGCGATCAAGGACAGAGCGCTCGAGGTCTGCGTCCGCCATTCAAAGAAGATTCACTCAATTCACTCGCTATTCTCAACGACATTTCCTCATCGACTGATGACGTACCAGCTTAGTTACTGCATATACACAGCTGCTACAGTCGAGGCCGAAGAGCTTAAGAGAGCATCTACGGGTACCGGAAGAGAAAGTGCGGCAGCCAGACTCGCAGCCGCGTGTCGTATACTCCAGCAAGAGGCTTCTCATACCCCAGGGAGCGGACGGAGTCTCGACACTATTCGCCGACTATTGAGCAATGGGCAGCCACGAGTTGTAGGCGTTAGTAGTAGTCTTGAGCGCGGACAGAATTCTGTCTCGAATCCCGCTGATAGTTCCCATCAACTCGATCCGCGTCAGACGAGGTCGTTGAACCCGGATATTGGTGGTGTGCAAAGAGGCAACCTGGGTCGTCACATAACTTCAACTAGAAATCATGCAATGGCACACAACGCCTCACAGCTTACTTCTGCCGTCAATCCGGAAGTAGATGATAATGCGTTCTTCACAGAGGGGGCTGGCTGGAATAGTGATATTAGTTACGGTGGAACGAATACGGGGGCCGGATTTCAACCGGACGCATTCCCATGGGGAGTTGCAGATCATATCTTGGGCGGTTCCGGCATGGCGTTCTCCGGCACAAATCTCGTATGGCCATCAGGTTCTCACCTCGACGGCTTTTGAGATATATCCATGTAGCGGTGTTAGTAATATAATTGGTGATGCAACATTGAATCCATAGTCCATGGAAAGGGTATGAGCCGGTGGGACACCAGTAGGCTTGCCGGTCTCCATGGCTCCGGGAAACAGGGATACAGCGGAGGATGCCCAAAGGTGTTGAGAAGTCTAATTTACATCTGCGGAGCATCCGACTGCAATTGATAACATGCCGAATGCGTTGGTGTCAGTCGGAAAGGATACCGATCTTGCCGAGATCGCCGTCACTCCTCACTCCTCACGACCGTGGGTCTCCCCGGGCCGATCTCTAGCTGACCTTCGGCCGGTTATGTCGGCCTAGTTTGGAGCAGGCTCAGTCTCGAGCATTATTAAAGGCTTCTTTGGAATAGATACAATGATTTTTGAAACACGGAGGAATTCACAATCATTTCCCGCTAACTCAGTCATGGGCAACTTTACTTCAACCGAAGTGAGCACCCGTCCGAGCTTTGATTCTTTGCCGCTCCACGTCGGGGATCCGAAGGCATCGGCGTGGGGATTATGGGGCGATGAAGATGAACTTGGGTCTCTCAATCTTTTGAACCCAGCTTTGGTCAAGAATGCCACGAGTGAGGTGGTCATAGGCGAGACGATACCGTTGAAGTGAGTACATGGAATAATACAGGGGAAACCCCCTTAAGAACCAACGCTAAAGCGAGATTTTATGCATCAGTCTTCCATTGGATGCTTTCATACAGCCAATGAATCCGGTTCGCAAGCCATGCGAGCACCGAATTATCCCTAAAGGCAACGCCAATGACGATGAGGTAAGTCTTCGAAACTATCACCTGCTTATATAAGTCACTGACAACGGATCGGGGCCAGATCTCTATCAATACACAAGGAGCAACCCATTGGGATGGGCCGCGACATTATCCTTACCAGGAGCATATTCAGTATTACAACGGGGTGACTCAGGATGTTATCTCGGGGCCTGATAACAACACCAAACTCGGGATTCAAAGTAAGAATAAAACACCGAAGCCCTACTTGCTTGTTTACCGTGCATGTTCTGACGCTTAGCTCAATAGATATGGCGAGGAAGTCCATCATAGGCCGTGGTGTTCTACTTGACTGGTACTCCTGGGCAACCGAGAAGAACATCACGTTTGACCCCTTTTCAACCTTTGGCATTCCCCTGTCTCAACTCCAAGCCGTAGCAAACGCCCAAAAAACCGAGTTCCAACAGGGCGACATTCTCCTCGTCCGAACAGGCTGGCTGCCGGCCTACCGCGCGCTCACCACAGAAGAGCAGCTAGCGTTGCCGCAGCGGGAAGTCCGAGCAAGTTGTGGCGTCGAAGCGAGCGAAGAGGCGATTCGCTGGCACTGGGATCACGCATTTGCTGCGGTAGCCTCGGATACTGTAGCCTACGAGGCCTGGCCGAGCCCAAAACCATGGGGCGTCAGCATGCATGAGGTTTTCTTGAGTGGTTGGGGCATGCCAATTGGAGAGAGCTTCGACTTGGAGAGGCTCGCTGTTAGGTGTAGAGAACTACAGAGATGGTCGTTCATGATGGTTAGTGTACCTTTAGATATTCCTGGCGGTATCGCTAGTCCGCCCTCGGCAGTGGCTATTTTGTAGTCTACGCATATGAAGGCTTGGGTAAAAGTGCCATGAAATTGCCGTCAGATACCAAGATTGTGTCACCCTATCTGTGCCATTGCCATGCCTTCTTGTGAACAGCGATCTTGTGAAGACATAGAAATTCATGGAGCTGAGGAAAGGGTCATTTCGATAGCTTCGTTTTTCGCCATGTCGTCCACAAATCCTTCACATAGATCAATGACAACATGATTCATGACTACTAGAGAAATCCAGGGTTGAAGCCGTGCTAGGCCATGTCAACCACCTTGACCTCGCCCTTGTCCATAGATCCTCTGGGCGATCTTGGATGATCTGTCGAAACAAGAGGTCTCCCTCTGAGCTGTGCCCAAACAACCACGTGTGTCGGTCGCGAAAACAGAGTATCCATTTCCTCGAGCGAGCGACCTAAAACCAAATTCTCAGCAAAAGACATGCCGGGAAAGCCGGGTTTTGAGTGGAACTGACCTTTTGTCTCCGGAATAAAGAAGAATGACCAGACCCCGATGAAGAGCAAGAACCCACCAAACATGAAGAACGTGCCGTACCCAAGATCGGTGATCATGAAAGGCGTGGCTCTCGCGACAATGAAAGAGCCCAACCAAGTACACGCGGTAGACATTGCAACACAGAGCATCCTGATATCCAATGGGAAGATCTCGGACGCGTATGTCCACGTGATACCCTGGATAGTGGAACAGATTATGAAGGCGTTGAGGTAAATACAGACCATGGCCAGATACCCCCACGCATCTTGCTGAATGACACCTCCCGCCGCCTTGGCGGTGGGATTGGCGACCATAACGTACCCGCCCACGTACCAGAGGGGAATACTGCCAACGAAAGCACCCCATAGAAGTCCGCTGCGACGTCCGAGGCCCTCGATGACCCATACTGCAAATAGAATCATACCCAGCATCTTTGCGATGCCATAGATCCCAGTGCTGAAGAGCTTGTTGCTGGTTCCGGTGATTCCTAGGGTCTCGAAAACTTGAGGGCTGTAGTATGTCATTACATTTGTGCCTATTGGTACACACGTCAGCAGGGCAACCATACGGTTGGAACGAAGGGTCAATAATGGTCTATTATTGCTGCGTATGGGGGTAGAAGGAGGAGGCTGTGGGCAGAGATCCAACAGTACCTGTAAAACTTTGAAGAAACATGAGAAACGTTCCAGTGCCAACACGATTTCTCGTGCCAGGAGCAAGGAGCTTCTGTAGTTGTTGTTTCTTGCTGAGTCGAACGGTACTTCGCTCCTCAACTTGTTGCTTTATTTCGCTCATCTCGTTTTGGATATATGGATGATCGGCAGGAAGTCCTCGCACGTAAACCAGAACCTTTTCGGCAGCCTCAAATTTATCGCCACGGGCCAGCCAGCGGGGTGATTCGGGACAGAACATGATGCCACCAAAAAGAAGAAAGGCAGGAAGGAGTTGTAAAGCCAGTGGCACGACCCATTGCGCCTCATTGTCGACGTCGATGGTACGGCTCGTGCCATAGTTGATCCAGAAACCAAGCATCCCGCCGCCCTGGGAGAAGATCTCAAAGATGCCCACGAGGCGTCCGCGGATACTCGGCGGCGACGTCTCAGCGATGTAGACTGGAACCGTCATGGTAGCCATACCGATCCCGAGACCGCCAATGGCGCGGCCGGCAATGACGAGGTTGAGGACGCCATTGGCTCCGGACATCATTGCTCCGCCGACGCAGAAGATGAGGGCCGCCATCATGATGGCCTTCTTGCGGCCGTACCTCTCGGCAACGGGGAATGTGAGAAGAGCACCGAAGAAGGCCCCGACTTGGAACATGGAGGCGATGTTGGCTAGGGAGTTGTTCTTCTCTTGGGTTGTCATCTTGTCGATGCCAAAGTCGCGGACGAAGGAGTCGAGGGACATTGTGCCTCCTATGACGGCCGTATCGTAGCCCACTAAAGATTTTTGCTGCGTTAGGAGAGGGCCTTGAACAAAGGTCTGGGGGTTTCCAGGCACATCTCACTTACTTGACAAGGCAGCCATAGACGCCACAAGGGCAATGAAGTGGATTCTCCAGTTGCGGACCTCAGGGGGGTCATTCGGCCCCTTTGCTGAAGCGAAACCCATGGCGATGAAGGAGCGTTTCTGAGATGCTAACGCAGGTCTCTGTAAAGCTGTCTTTTTGCGTCGTTTGCAGGCTATAGATATCAGTTAACAAAGACGTCCCTTTGCAACGGCTGATCCGTATTTATAGAGCTGAGAGATGCGATGCCAGGACAGGACATCTAGACCTGGCATTCAAACGACACTAGCCAATTAAGCTTGAATGAGGATCCGGGGACAGATCTGGGGTCCCCGCGGGGCATCGTGCGGAGACATGACATGTACCTTGTGAGCTTTCTCCCGCAGGAATCCGTTTCGCGTACGAAGAACTCGAAGAGTGACTGTATTGCCCTCTTCCTCAACGGTATCGTGCATGTAAGGTCAGCCAAGACAAAGATACCGACGGTCATAAACCGGACGAAAGGCGTTTCTTGAGGATCGAGCGGGGAAGATCAGGAGTTGGGCGGGGCCTGCGTCTTGTATATCTTTCGTTGAGTCGTGATTCCGAGGTGTTAATGTAGATCAAGATGCCGAAATGCTTGGCCGAGGCGGACTTTTCGGCATTGAAGAGAGTTCCCGAGAAGAAGTTATCTACACACAAAAAACAAGATATGGGGGCGAGTATCGTAAAGACGCATGTTACCACAGCGGTGACTGAGTATCAGCTTGTATTTGCTTGCTGCTATCTCGTCACATTCTCAATGCAACAGAGGTGTCTCCTCGCTGGCCGAAGCTCTGCCCTCTTCGTTGGCCTCTTCTTGACTCCCAACAACATCAGAAAGCCACTGTTTCAGACCCTCACGAATCTCGGTATCTCGGTATATCCATGCGATACAAATACCGGCACCCGGTCCGAGTGGGACGGTACCAAGAATTGCGACCAAGGGGACCTTCCAGCCAGTCTCGACGAAGAGCCAATACAGGACAGTCAAACTGATGAAGAACATGTCAATCTCAACAAACTTGACAGTAGCACGTGTCATCTCCTTCCTGTCGTCCCACTGGAACAGGCTCCAGATGAAGTAGACGTGAGAGACTGCGGAGCACAAAATGGGAGTGAGGTAGACGAGCAGAAGCGAGATTGTGTGAGACTCGAGGTGAAAACTGCGGTGCTGGCGCTTCTGCACGCGCAAGACGGCCCATCGGACGGCTTGGCGGATGAGTGACACCCAGACGGGGAAGAAGAGCCAGATAACGATGATGACGGGGGAGTTGTAGATGAGCATCAGGAGGGACGGCAGAATGAAGCCCCACGCGACGCTGACAGGGATGGCGATGATCTCCGCATCGACAACGAGATGGCGTGAGTCCTTGCCAAAGTCGGGGTCCTTGGATGCGGCGCTCTCAACAGCCTCTTGACCGGCCTTCTTCCGAGCAAGCAGGATGGATCGCGAGCGGTGGAAGAAGGCGGGCAGGATGACGAGTTGCCAGACCACAGCTCCACCGATGAGGTTGAAAACTAGCCATGGACCCGTGGGATTCGCAATCACGACGTTGGGCGCGTTACAAACGCGTGCAGCCTCGATGGTGGTGACGGTCATGAGACCGGCGATGAAGGACAGGATGGCGGACATGCTGGCGAAGGTCCGCATGGAGTCGAGCGCGCTCTGGAAGAAGCTTATGGCGAAGCAGACGGGCGGACCGAAAACAGGGACCTTGCTGACGGCCGGTAGGCGTGCCCGGGCATCGCATTGTGAGTAAAGGAGGGCGACGTTGACATCGGAGTGGATGAAGAGCGACGCGAAAGTCGCGATGGCGAGGATAATGGGCACCACGAGCAAGGCGCGGTAAGAGAAGACGTGGATGGGCGCGGGCCAGCGCTTTGAGGAGGCCATGGTTATGACGAGCGACAGTACCGCCTATGGTACGAGGTAGTCAGTATGTTGTGGATGAGTGCGAAGAGTCGCAGGGTGATGCCGTCTTCTATTCGGTTCCCGACATGTTCGTTCCAACTTTCATCGTCAGCTCCGCTCAGCTCAGCTCAGCGCACTTCAGCTGAGGCTCATGACAACATTGGCGCACGTGCCGCTCTGTGCCCCTCATTATCAGTCATCTGCCTACGCCTCTGATGCACTAACACTGAATGAGATGAGACGTCTCTCATGAGATGAGTGAGATGCACCTTACTGAAAGCCATCGAATATCGCATAACAATTATGGCTAATACCAAGTTATCGGATGCGCCGGTGAAGCTTCAATGTAAATAAGCATACGGCAAACTTGATCGTCCGCGATTCTTGGGAAAACGTTGGGAGCAAAATACAGTGATCAGAAGATGGAACGCAAAGTTTACACTGACGTCGATGCTGCACAATGGCGCCCGTTGTTTGACACAGCTTCTGTATTAACAGGACCGCATGAACACCATATAATATTGCGTCTTGAGATCTCTTTTCTATTCTTAATACTATGTTCCAAGGCTAGTATTGAAGAAACACGATAACAGAGCATTCCAACAACCGATGCTGAGACTAGGAATCATGACGGCAGCGTCAACACAATGTTACGGATGACAACTGTAACCCTCCAGAAGATGCTTCTCCATACATGATGCCGTACACGAAGCAATCTCCCACGAACTCCCACAAGTTCGTATCTCGATTTCTCTCTCTTACTGGATGGAGTAAAAAGGGATGATTCCCGCCCGAAAGAGTCCAAACGTTGTTTCCTGGCTTCAGGTTAGGCGGGCCGAGGCCAAGCCGATTCTCCTCTGTGATGAAAAGGACTTGATAAGAGAGCATCCTGTCCTCCCACCACGGACCTTGGCGCCAACTCTCATCTGTGATGGGCTCATGATGCTCGCCGAATTTCCCTTGGATAAGGTTGTTATATTGGTACATGATGTTGTCTTTACTGGCGTGGTTCCTGAGAGCGCTTTCACATGCATGTCTCCAAAGAGACCTTCGCATATTTCTTAGGTCCATCAACACTGTAGCCACCTTGTCAACGCGGATGCCGTTTAAAGTTAGCAATACGAAATTTTCTGCTTGGTTCAATAGCGGCTTGAATCGTGGTAAACCGCGGCCAGCGTAGAATTGCCTCCAAGCAATATCGTGCGTCCAGAAATCGCTGGTGCACTTGGAGTCCTCCGGCTGGGCCAGATCCAAGACCCAAGTAGGCAGACCGGCCGTTTCTCTCTCCCCTCTCCAGCCGATAAGAGGCTTGAGGTTATTCAGAGATGTGAGTAAACTGACCGTAACTCTGGAAAACAGAACCACAATATCGAGGACGTAGTCCGCTGGGGTGATATTAGGCAAATATTTCTTATTGAGGAGCGCCCAGATGCCAAACAGCTTGTCTTTCGGATATGTGGACCTTCTGTCTCGAAACCGCCACAGTCTATTCAGCGAGTCGGTTCTTGACTGGTCCCAGAATCTGGTGTGAGCAATGCTGAGGACGGGTATAGTGAACGGGCTTGTGTGAAGCTTTGGGTAAATGGCGGTGCCATCTTGGAAAAGATCGAAAATGTTATTGTGTTGCGGATGCTCATCCGGTTGCACCATATAGCTCGCCGCGTCCATGATCGTTTGGAAGCTGATCTCGAGTGGGCCCCAGAGAACCGTGGCTTTTGGGGGCAGACAGACCTCCTGGACTGTCCAGATGCGGTGCCACCACTCGCAGTCCATCATCGACTGTAAGGCTACCCCGGCGGTAAGACCACTACCAGCAGGGCTCCTAGCAACTGGACCCTCCCCGGGCCAGCCGAGCTCTTCATGGTGTGGCTCCTCTGCAATGATACGCAAAGCGTTGAGGGCTCCTGCCGCAGCTTGCTTTGCGGCCACACTACTATCTCCTTTCACGACGATGTCCCCCATCCAGACGAAACAATTCTCGCACTCGCCATAGATACGGTGCATGAGATCAATTTGGTACTTTTTCTCGTCTTCGTCACTCTGGTTGATGCAAAGGGCGTCTGCCCAGATGACAACTGGTCCTTGTTGACGGCGAATACGGCTCAAGGCTTCAGCCAGACTTCTGTTGACCGTGACTTGGACGCCATTGACGATGACTTGGGCCTTTTCGTCGGGGTTGCCCCAGACATACGATAAGGCATTGTATCTTGGTCTGCTATCAAGGCTGATAGTGCTGCAGGTACAACGTAGTTCTTCTGTCTGTCGACCTGGGAGAATCGTGAGCAGGCGGATGTGGGTTTTCGGATTGGGCAACTTTGCGCTCCAATCGGTTGGGTTGTTCCGCGCACCGATATCCTCAGTGCGTCTCTGGATAAGTGCCATGGTATGTCGCAGGATCTGTCGTATTCTCCCCATTGAGAAAGGGTTACATGCTGTATCAGGCAGGTTCGTGTTCGGGCCATGGAATAGGGTAGCTTTTGAAGTCTGAAGGAGAGTCTTCTGTTGACGGTCATCTAGGCGGACATGCAAGGCAGTCTCGTTGGGCTGAGTAGGCTAGTATGAGTGGCTGAGCGAGCTGAAAGGGCGGGATCATGGGACAATTCAGCTGAACAAGATGCTTGTGCTTGATGTCTTACCATGATAGCGCCTATATAGCGCATATGTAAGATCTGAATTCGCGTTTCCTCAACATGTGAACAATCCTCTCTCGGTGACTATGCCTCAATGTATCTTGCTTCTCGTCGATCATTAACGTCTGCGATATGGCCCTCATTACTTCAGTCTTTACGCACAGGGGTGCTAAGTCGTCCGTACACATCTAATTTAAATAAACAGCTTCTTCTTCCTGAAAAGAAGATCCTCCTTACAGCTCATTCGACTCTGAGGCATTTCAAGCAAAGCCGTATTATACTTGGCCCATCACTGCTTCAAATAGTGCAGATTAACCGGCGTAATCGGCTTCCCTCCATCCAACACCGCCATGATATTCCTCATACTCAACTCCTCGAACCCCTTGTGCGTCTCGACCGTCCCTCCAGCATTATGACACGTCAACATGGCCTTCGTCCCCGCCATCTTGAGCAACCTCGGATGCGGCTTCGGCTCATCAGCATGCACATCCAGCGCAACGGTCCCAATCTGCCCAGACTCCAACGCATCCGTCAAAGCCTCCTCATCAACCAAACTCCCCCTCGCAATATTTACGAACCTCGACCCAGGCTTAAACCACGCTAGCGACTCTGCCGTGATAACCTTACCTCCAGCAGGCGTACATAGCACAACGCAATCCGAGATGCGAAGCAAGCTCTCCATCGTCTCGTGGAACGTAGCGCCAAATTTGGCCTCCACGTCAACGGGGTCTTTGCGGACGACGTCGAAGTAGTGTACTTCCATACCGAAGCCGACACCGAGACGCTGCGCGATCTGCTGGCCGATGTTGCCCATGCCCACGAGGCCGAGGACGTGCCCGCGGAGGGTGTGCGAGGCGGCTGTGGCGCGGGCGTGGCAGTCTTGAAAGGCGGACGGGTCGGAGACGGATTTCATGCACCAAGGGAGGTGGCGGAATGTTGAGATGACGAGGGCGATAGCGAAGTCTGCGACTGCTTCGGCGGCAGCGAGGCCTGAGTTGCAGTATATGACGCCTTGCTGTGTATTAGTTTTCGAGATGCCTCATACATTCACTCGACACCGAGCGATTTAAGCGGGACAAAGACTCACCTCGTTCACCGAGAAGTTGTGTATCAGCCCAATCGAACCCGGCGCCGGCGCTGGCAAACACCCGACAGCTCGCCGGCAGCAGCGGCACCAGCTCGGCGTCCCAGGTGCCCATCTCGCCGCCCGTGCCCCAGAACGGGCGGAAGACGGCGGAGAAGTCGCCCCACTTACCGTCCCGTAGGGCAGCGGCGAATGCGGGGCGCTGGCGTTCGGGCGTCGATGGGCGGATGATGTCGCATTGCGCCGAGAAGGCGGCGTAGGTTTCTGGGTTGTATTTGATCGGGTCGCCGTTGTGTAGGACGCGAGGCTTATGGGTGCCGTTTGTGGATGCTATTTGCGGTGTTGCCGTGATGGGTTCTACTTGGCTGTCGGGATGGGGGTGGAGGACGGGCGAGGCGGAGCGAGGGGTTTGAGATTGTGGTGTTGCTGGGGGGTATGGTGTATTGTTCGGTTCGGCCATTTTGACTGAAGCTTTGGGCATCAGTTTCTGAAGTTGGTGTAAGGAGGATCTCGACTCCAAAGAGCTTGGGTTGAGGCGGAAACGACCTTGATAAAGCGATGGTCGGACTAGGGTAGCTCTTTAGCTGCAGGAGATTATGCAAGATTCCAACATGTGTGTAGCTCGGGGTCTGATAAGGCTATCGAGAAGTGGCCCTGTTATCGAGATTAGAAGGAATCGAGGAAATGGGAGCAAATAACTTCTATTTGAACTGACGATCCATGATTGCGGAGGATTGGTGGAATCTCTTTCAAAAATGTCGGTGTGAGGATGAGGCGAGATCAGCTACGCTTCGTGGCACGATGGGAGCTTCTCCCGATCTTGGCCGGCCTGTTCCTCCCCACGCTTCCGGTCCGGCTGAATGGAGAGAACGCAACATTGCTTTTCTTTTACGCGAAGCGATGAATTAAACACCTTTGGCCGGATAAGCTTCATACTTCCAGGCATTTCCGAGTTTGCGGCGCCACCTTGACCACCGGACGGAGACGAGTGTCCCTTGAGCAGATGTACGCGAATGAATCGGCTTAATCGCTCTTGTAATTCAGAACAAAAGGCTTCTCAGTTTGGAGCACAAAGTAGCTGTAGTTTCAAGCGCGATAATTCGAGCAGCTATTAGACCACGAGGGATAGCCACGCCTCAGGGCCAATTTAACCCAGCCCCGACCAACTGTCAGTATTAGACCCCGCAATGAGTGATTCATGCAGGAGACATGAGAAGCAGTGGGGTGAGAATGATGACCGGTCTGGGCCGCCTCAATCGCGGGGATGAAAGTCTGGGGTTAAAGTTAGCTGACGAAGGCGAATGGTCTGATTATCTTTCCATGCCCATCATTCACCGCTCAGGGGTATGCTGGCAACGCGCACTTTTGTTTCTCGGGTACAGATAGTCCGTCCATACAGCCATGCTGCCCAAGGTACTTGAGGTATTCTGCTGGCGGAACTCAGAGTTGATGGTGTACAGCATGAAATCCATGTTCAACATTAGACGCTGCGGTATAGAAATCTTATTCTATCCTCTATGGCTGTTTGTGTCAGTGAACTGTGCAATTCACGTGTAGTTCCTTGCCCTTATTATCTTTAATTACGGAGCGATATTCATCTGGAATCAGATAGCTCTTTCATTAGATGAATACATTTTCTTTAGATGACTGATATCTCGGACATTTTGTTTATCTTACAAAATTTGAGTGCCTTTTCTCTTTTGTCGCGATAACGCATTTGGATCAGAAAGGGCGGCTTGTTAGCTTCACGGGTCCAGAGTGGTCAGATCAGCTTTTACTTCATACTTCAATTCTTCATGTCTTTCATGGCCTGAATCTTCCTACAAATGAAACAGCGAAATAACTTATTTGGCCTTGCCAGTGGGAATGTTGAACAGAACAACCACGTCACCCTCATCCAGACCCTTGTCCACACGGTAGAAGCCCCGTCGCTCAAGCTGAATAATATCGTCCTTCTTCAGCTCACCAACACCAGCATCGCACAACGCCGTCTCCATGCTCGACGTGTTGGGGTTGAGCACCTTCTCAAGCACGTCGTCCTCCTCGAGCTTGTCCTTGTTGATGAGGTAGTCAAAGTCCCAGAGCTCAGCCTTGACGAGCTTGGTGCCGGCCGTCGACAGCCACGTGACCTTCTTCTCGGTCGTCTTGAAGTCGCCCTTGAGGTTGAGCTCGACGCTGAGATCGGTGATAGGTTCGGTGGCGCCGATCTCGCGGGCGAAGGCGTTACCCCAGCCCATGAGGGTGAACTCCTCGCCCTTCTTGAAGCTCTTGACGTCGGCCTGGTCGAGGATGAGCTCGCTAGAGAAGACGACCTTCTTGGTGCCGACGTCGGGGTTCTTGGGGTGCTTGGGCTTGTCCTCGGTACGAGGGGTGGCGGGGGCGTCGGCGCCGGTGACGGTGACCTTGACGGCGTCCTTCTCCAGGATGGCAGTGTGGCGAGGGGCGATGGGGTCAATGACCTTCTTGTTGATGTTCCAGAACGACGCCCAGTCCATGTTGACGACGTTTCTGCTAGGTCCCTGCTTGATGATGAACTCGCGGAGGGCGGGGATGGTCATACCGCGTCTGCGCACACCACGGATGGTGGGCATACGGGGGTCGTCCCAACCCCAGACGGTGCCCTGGTTGACGATCACGGCGAGCTTTCTCTTGGACAGGAAGGTGCGGACAAGGTTGATACGGCTGAAGTCGTGCATATAGACCTGGCGCAGCTTCAGGGTGTCGATGAACCATTGGTAAAGGGGGTTGCGGTCAGTGTACTCGGTCGATCTCAGGGCATGGGTGACACCCTCGTGAGAGTCGACAACGGGGCAGGCGAGATCGTACATGGGGTAGATCTTCCACTTGTCGCCGGTGCGGTGGTGCTTGTTCTCAATGTTGCAACGGTAGATGACGGGATCTCTCAGAGCCTTGTTGACGTTGTCGACTGAGATCTTGGCGCGGATGCAGTTGTTCAGGCCCTCGGGGGTGCCCTCCTTCATGGCCTCGAAGATGCGCAGGTTCTCCTCGACGGAGCGGTTGCGGCACTTGGACTCGATTCCCTCGGTTCGCTCGTTGCGCATCGTCTCCTGCTCGGTGTCGTCGGCGTAGGCGTGACCCTCCTTGATTAGGCGAATGCAAGTCTCGTAGAGGTAGTCGAAGTAGTCGGAGGTGTAGGAAAGGGAGTCGGGGGTGATGCCCATCATCTTCAGGTCCTCAACAATGGCATCCTGGAACTCCTCGCTCTCCTTGGCGGGGTTGGTGTCGTCGAGACGCAGCAGAAGCTTGCCATTGTAAGCCTCGTGGGCGAAGTAGTCGCTGAGAAGCGCGGCCTTGGCGTGACCAATGTGGAGGTATCCTCTGTTACATGATTAGGGAATGATCTCGCTGAGTGGTGTTTAGGAGTACTGACGAAGGCTCGGGAAGGAATCTGGTGACAACTCCAGCCTCAGCGTTCTGGAGAGCAAGAGAGTAGCTAGCACCCTTCTTGCTGGCGGCAACGACCTTGGCCTTGCGCTCCGCATCGACAGCGTTCGTCTCGGCCTGGATCTCGGGGTAGGTGACTTCGACAAAGGTGAACCTAGCAACGCGAGTTAGCGCCGGATGGACATTGATTGAAGTTAGGGACACGAATGACGCACCAACGAGTAAGGTTGGCCATAGTTCCCTTGCGAATGAAACCCATGGCAACCTTGTTGAGCTTCAGGGTCTGCCAGATCTTGGTCTCGGTCTCTCCCAGCGAGTACCCCTCGACAAAGGTGCGCAGCGTCAAGTGCTTGTCGAGGGCGCGGAGGTGAGGCTCGATCGACTTGAAGTCGCCGGCCAGGGCGGTGGGGAGGGTCTGGAGCTCCTCGGCCTTCATGATGGCGGTGTTTGGTCCAATTGAGGCGATGAGACTATCGGAGGGATTCGGTGGTCAGGACGGTCCTGGTGTCTCGTGAGTCAAATGTTTGGAGTGGCTGATATTTCGTGGTGGGGTTAAAAATCGTGGAGGGGTAACATGACGGCGCACTCACCGAGAGCACTCGGCCGGGACGGGAACAGGAGAGTCTGATTGGTGGCACAGCGAGGGGGTTGCTTGCGGCGTGCTGTAAGTCGTTCTTGGTATTACGTCTGGTGTCTTTTTCGACCACTACGCAAAAATTGTACTTATGGGAAAGAACTCGGCTAATTATCAAGCTACCTATATACACGTCTTCTGAAAATTTTGCAAATCCATTGAAATGATGGCAATGGTTATGACTCTTCGTCCAAGGTCAAGCTCTGGTGACAGTGGTGTGTTTCGAGGCAAAGTGTACGTACCTATACACCGGGACCGGACCGGTCCTACCTAGGAACGTACCTTGCCTGAGCACACCTCAGCCCGATAAGATAGTGATAAGATAGCAACCTATTGCCTGAACCATGAGGCCACACCATTTTTTCTGCAGTCTTTGGCCAGAGCTTCGCACGCGAGACGTCCTGAGGGCCAGCTCTGGCGTTGCAACTCCAAAAAAAAAAAGATCACATATACCCAGAGCCCCGTGATGGCGTCAATGAACCAATGCATGGCCTCAATGGCCCGGCTCAGCCTCGCAGCTTCAGCAAGACCGACAGCCTCCACGATACCGCGGTTCCTCATCCCTTCCGTCGCCCAGCAGACACGATGCGCGAGCAACCAGGGGGGTAACAAGAAGACGGACAAGAAGAAGAAGAAGCTCTCCAAGGACTTCAAGACCTACAACGTCAAGAACTGCCCTCAATTCTCTCTTTGCGATGCCATGCGGTGTGTATAATCTGTGCAACATAATCCATGTGCGATCTTCAACTGACCTCCAACTAGCTACCTCCGCGCATTCGAAGTCGGCCGCCCTCCCCAGTCCATCAAGTACGAGATCCACGTCCACCTCAAGACACCCCGAAACGGCGCCGTCGTCAAGAACCGCATCCGTCTCCCCAATCCCGTTAAGTCCGACATCCGCGTCGGTGTAATTTGCCCCGAAGGCAGCCCCATCGCGCAGCAGGCCCTGCAAGCCGGCGCCATCGTCGCGGGCCAGGAGTCCGTCTTCGAGGCCATCAAGAACGACAACATTGTCTTCAACCGGCTCATTTGCCACACCGACAGCGAGGCGGCGCTCAACAAGGCGGCGCTAGGCCGTATCCTCGGTCCCAAGGGTCTCATGCCCAACCGTCGCATGAAGACTATCACCGACAACATTGCCAGCTCCATCCGTGAGACGATGGGCGCCGACAACTACCGCGAGCGTACCGGTGTCATCCGCATGGCTATCGGGCAGCTCGGTTTCACGCCCAAGATGTTGTCTGCCAACGTCAAGGCGTTTGTGGCTAGCATCAAGTCTGACCTCGCGGACCTCGAGACGCACAAGGAGGTTCACGAGGTTGTGCTGAGCTCTTCCCAGGCTCCGGGCTTCAGCTTGAACGGAAACTTTGACTCTACAGATGAGGAGGCCACGCCGGCCCACCTGTCCAATGTCATGTAAAAATGTACAAAACCCAGATGAGAAAAAGGGGGAGAGGAGAAAAAACGAACAATGGGCGGGTGTTTAAATGAATTGTATCATAGGTGTTTTTATTACACGTGTATCAAAGTGGCATAGCGCTCTAGAACATGTCGGAGATTTGGGTATCATTTGCATCGCAACTCTGTGACAGCTGGCCTTTTGTGTTCTGTTTGTCGTTGTTTGCTGCAACCCGACTCAACTGCTCTTGAGAGCCCTGATCGCCTCTGCCTGGGCATCAAGCAGCCCGTACAAGCCCAAGTACTTGACCGTCCTCGCCTGGCCCTTCTTCCCCGCCTTCCGTGCTTCCTTCATCGCCGTGCCGAGGTCGAGGAGGATCGTGTTCCGACACCTCGCCATCCGAGCCTCAGCCTTGACCACAAACTGGGCATCCCGTCCGATAGCGTCGGCCAGAGCTTCGACGATGCAGAAATCTTGCGCGAAGCCCGCCAACTTCGCAGGGCTGCTGCCCACTAGCCCGCCCACATCATCATCCTCTTCCTCACCAGACTCCTCGCTATCATCCGCATCCCAGTCATCATCCTCCTCCTCCTCCTCTTCCTCACTGTCGCCAGTCTTCCCCTTCCCTGGCAAGCTCGCGAGCGCAAGCCGCTCCTCAAGCGAAGATACCCGCTCATCCAACTCAAGCATCTTCCTCCCAACCTCAATCCCCTTCCTCACCTCTCTCAACTCCCCACTCAACCCCTGAACCTCCTCCCCGCGCGTCCTCACTTTGCCTTTAATCTCCTCCACAGCCCTTCGGAACCCAAGCATAGCAACACGCACATTCTCAACCCTCTCATCGCCGCCGCGCAGCTCGTTGCCGAGGGACAAAAACGCAGTATAGTTCCCGTTCACGAGCTCCAGCAGCTCGGCACTGATGGCGGCACTGCGGTCGCGGAGCTCGGCTTTGAGGTCGTCGAGGGTCTGGTGCCGGTGCGGGAGGGCGGAGAGATAGTTTGCCGGGTGGAAGTTGGGGGCGAGGAAGTCGGATCGGGGGAGGGCGGCGGGGAAGGGGAGCGGGGCGTCGTCGTCTTCGTAGCCGGAGCCGGTGGCGGAGGCGACGGAGGAAGAGGAGGAGGAGGGGAGGTGGAAGGCGGGTTGCTGCCGTGTTGGCGATTGGATGCCGAGATTGGCCATGGTTTTTGCTGTGTGATTTTGCCTGGTTGCTTTTGGTTGGGGTTGGTTGTTGCTTTCGGCCTTTCAGAGATGGGGGCGGCGGCGGCTCGGTGGTTGAGGTTCGGCGCAGAGGTGTAGGAGCTCGGAGCAGGGACGTCGATTTTAGGCAAGGTAGCTATTTCGAAGCTATAAAGACCGGGATCGGGAATTGTTGGGAGCTTTGCCTTCGAGAGGTGGGTGGTTTGAATTGGCAGCTGTTGGCCGATTTTGGACGAGATGGAGTTGGATAGGTACGGATAGCTTAATACAGCTTTCTCAGAGGTCCACAGATTGGGGTTTCGCGGGGATTACTGTGGGAATTGGGAGCGTAGACTGTGCGTGAGCCCACAAAGTAGCCCCCGCTGGATTCCCACAGCTTTCAGCGCATGTGGACACGGTTGCGCAACCTTCAAACATCTCAAGTGGCTACTCAATTACTTCAACCACTTGCGAGTGAGGATTTCGTGAGAGAGGGTCACGGAGGAGAGTTGGTTGGAGATTCGGAGTCAGAGCTAGGATTGGGTCATTCTGAACCCTGCCGTGTCTCTGGCAATGACGATACGGCGATCAATCTGCTCGGCTCTTACGACCATGACCGCACATCGTCATCTCTGATGCGGCCATTGGCGAGAGAACTCAGTAAAGTCGTCGCCCAAGACGCAATCATCAATTCAGAGCTAGATGGAGGGAATAAAAGAGGCAATCATCTCAGGTAAGCGGCTATATCACGCCCGTCTACCGTTATGAAGAGCCGGCCATTCTGGCTTGAAGACATCCGGCCAAACATGCGGAGGCCGAAGTGCCCGACGGCGCTTGGCGTTGCCTCGTAAGGAGGGAGTCCCTTGTGAAGCCAAAGCGTTCTCGGAGCCACCCTTGGGCCAGCCTGTCAGGCAAAGACACTTTGTGTAATTAGTGCGCCGACAATTGCCGCCGTCAAACCTCGTGAGATGCGAGATACTACAGCAAACTTCGAAGTGCCATAGAGGAACGGATCCAGTGAGGTAGCATCGCAGTACCTAGAGCACTCCACGAAGTACGTAAATTTGCTCTGTTTTCTCGCGTGGCTCCCACTCTTCCACACCCAGGGCCTCCACTTGGAATCAACCTATGTGGGATGAAGGGCCGATCTGATTACGCACAGTCACGACGAAGAGAAGTGTTGGGTCACTTGGTGGTTGGCTCGTCGATAGTATCCGTACTGGATACTGGGTTTAGACGATCCCAAAAGCAGACGTTTCAAGCGATTCACCCACACTTCCAACAGAGGACTGCGAAAAAAATGAGCGTCTCATGTGAGCCTGCAGAAAGGAGCGGCGGCTAGGGGGGGGTAAATTGGTCAAAGATCAAATGGCCCAATGACAGACGGCACCACGAGGTGTGTGTGGGATGAAGGTATGCACGCTCGGTCGCGTAAAACTGTAATACGGATTGGAGCTGGAGGCGATTGAGGGTGGTGACATCTTATCAAGTACCTCATGATCGCCCTGATGAACTGCTCCAAGGCCATTGGACGACTGGCGGTGACACCTGAAGCAGGTTCCATTGAGGCATAAATCCCCGATTATCAGGTACCTTTCTCCGAGCATCTTGCTCACTGGGCGGATACAGATCTTGTGCTCTGCCATTCCTGTCATTTGTTTTATGCCGTAGCATAAAGTAGTTGTGCAAAGCGTTTTTACACCTCGGCGATCCTGACTCGATGGTTTTTTAAGACAATAGACACTGCCGAAAAGTCTCATCAAACTTTGTGTCAAATTGATTTTCCCGCTGGTTTCCAGTCCTTACGGTTGTTTACTCATCCCTCACTGTCAGTGTCAAGGTAGATTTAGAGTAGAACCACGGACGTCTCGGCATACGAGCAAGTCATCGGACAAAGACTCGCTCTCATTTGTTGATGGAGTGACAGGCCTCTACTGTAAGCCTGTAAGGTAACATAGACCTCTGGGTAATTAGATGCAACTTTATCCCACGGTCATCACTGGTCACACACATCATGCACTCGCCCGGTGGGCAAGGGCAGCGACATCGGCAGACCCTGAGATGGATTCTCTCGGGATGTGGTGAGGCTTGGCATCCACGCATCGTCGACTATCCACACAAAGTACGGATGCAGAACAAGAGGCACAGACAGACTCAGAGACCGGTGGTGACGGAAGAGAGTGCGTGAGAGGCTGGGGTTCTCCATCATCCATAAGGTCATGGTCCATGGATGGGTGTTACGACATGGAAACTCAGCCATCAAGGGGATCAAAGCCCATTGAGGGTGGATCGCGCGGTCAATCAGGGCGGTGATCCGTGGGAGAAGTCGGGCTGTGTAGCCCTGAAAGTGCCTACATAGTAGCATTCATAGTGTGTTCCGCTTAGCCAAGACTAAGAAACAAGGTCCGAGATCGCAGGGTCGGAATGGAGCTGGAAGCCGGAAAGCCACACAGGAGCCATCGAACGATTCCACCCAGTGTGGCCTGGTGTGTGAGTGTATCCGTACTCCGTACGAAGGGTGAGCGATGGAGTCAGAGTGAGAGTGAGAGTGAGAGCAGTGCTTTCACTGTGTGAAAGTCGGGGGGCATTTTCCGAGGGAGAACCAAGTGAGTGAGTGAGTGAGTGAGATGAGTACACCACAGTGGTGAGTGGATTGAGTGAGGCAATGAGACCGGGTGGGTGAGTGGGAGAAGACGACGTACCTCTGACAGGCAGTGCCCGGTGGGAAAAAAACAGACAGAAAAAAAAAAACCCAGACTAGCGCAGGCCCTGGTGGGGGCCTTGCGAGCAAGATAATCTTATCAATCAGATCAAAAATTCCTTTTTGAATGTCGCCCTCCCCCCCCTTCCCCCTTGGGCCCTTCCCCTTCCCCCCTCCACTGTCCAGTCCGCGCTGTCCCTCCAATCCCCTCCCTCCTCCCCACCATCCTCCGAAGTGTCGGAAGAAAGAGGAACAATCCCGCTATCCAAAGATTTCTTCAACTCTTCAACACCGACTCTCTCACTTACACAAACTGATCTCAAGACTTTTCTGTCTTTAATCGTCAAGATCACTTACGCCAGCAATTACAACAGAGTCAGCTGTTTCTCGTTGCCGACATTGTCTCCCGAATAGATAGCTGTCTGTCACCCACTCGGCAACACGCGCACCACCACGCTCGTCTGCATAACGGCCCAGACAGACCTATCAGCTGTGCATTTCGCTGTAGGGGTATCTGCTCGATTCTGCTCGGCATCAGCCCAGATCGCCAAACAGTAGCATCATATCCAACTTGTACAGCACCGATTGCTCCTCCGAACAAAAGGTCAATCAATCATCATCATCACAATAAAAGACGAGCGAGGAAAAGAACAAACGAAAAGAAAGGCCAAATACCAACCACCAAACTCCGTACACAAAACCAAGCCGGTCTTCCACAACACATCATTAGCGCTTCCATCGCACCACCTTTTTCATCCTTTTTTCTTATCAGATCTTAAGAGCCGAGCGTCACCAGCTCTACGCCGAACCGTACCCTCGGATTTACCAGCTGGCAAAACATCTGCAACCCACACCACGCCAACCGTTCACCAGCTGCTAGCGGCGATATCCCACCACCCGCCAGCGAATGAGCTGCCATAACAGACCCCGCCTGTGGAACCCTGCTCGTTCGTCTCTTCCACCATGATGGCCGCCTCAGGTGTTTCCACCACTATTCCCTCCTCATCCGCCACCTCTCCCTCCTCCCACAATCAGACGTCGCAGCAGCAACACTCGTCGTCGGCCTTTTCTCCCGTCACCTCACCTCCCGCGACCGACGCCCGAAGCGTTTATTCCGCTGCTTCTCGCTCCAACTCGGTCGTCTCGACGCCCGTTTCCGCTGCATCGCCTGCCGCGAGCACTCCCGGCGGTGCTCCCACACCAAATCCGAGCGGACCGACAAATGCCTCCCACGCCCCGCACCAACTACCTGCCATCAGACCGAACGCTGCACAACAACAACCCATCTCAGCCAGGCCGCCTCAGGTCGTGAACAAAATGTCCATGGCCTCCGTAATCAGTCCCCCGCCCGTCACCGAGGCCCCCAAGATGTCCATGACCACCAAGGAATGGGTCATCCCTCCCAGGCCGAAGCCCGGCCGCAAGCCTGCCACCGATACGCCACCCACCAAGCGCAAGGCCCAGAACCGTGCCGCCCAGAGGGCTTTCCGTGAGCGTAGGGCCGCCAGAGTTGGCGAGCTCGAGGAGCAGCTCGACGAAATCCGTGATGGTCACGAAAAGGTCGAAAAAGACCTCAAGGACAAGGTCCACGGTCTTGAGATGGAGCTGCAATCTTTCAAATCCCGGTGCCTCGTGCTCGAAAACATGTTGGATCGCGAGAGAAAGGACCGCGTCAAAGCCGAGTCCGAACTCGAAAGCCAGAAGAGACGTTGGAACGAGCAGCAGGCCGCGGCCCCGAGACGTCTGCCTTCTCCCCAACGCCGAGGCTCCCAAATCGCTCACCACGAGCATCCCCCCACCCCATCGGCTGGCCACTCAAACCAGCCCTTTTCCATCTCACAGATCGTCTCCCCCCAAGACTCAACCCACATGGAAGACTCGCCTGCCCCGTTTGGATGCGGGTCATGCGGCCCTGAAGGCTGCTCCTGCGCCAACGAAATTCTTGCCGATACCGTCACAGGATGTGGCGGCTGCACTCTCGGAGGTCGATGCCAGTGCCTTGAAGACACCATCAAAAGCGCCATCATCTCGGATCTAAAGAGGAGCCACTCGCCCTCGGCGCCGGCTTCCACCGAGAAGCGTGCCCGTGTCGAGCCCACTCCACCCGAGGAGGAGACGGAGATTGACTTCACCGCCATGTTCTCCAAGAAGGCACCAGTGCAGCAGGTGCAACAGGTGCCGCAGCATCAGCAGGCGAACCTTGCCATTGTGCAGCCTCAGCCCCAGCTCCCTCCCGTGGCCTTCAAGGACTCGTGTGGGTTTTGTAAGGACGGAAGCTACTGCCTCTGCGCCGACACTTCCATGTCGCTTGGCCCGCCCGCCACTACCCCTTACGGACCTCCTCCCGCCTATTCCCAGCAGGTTCAGACTCCCCCTCCCTCAGAGAACGATGCCGTCCCTCCCCCTATGCCCATGGAGATCGACGCCGACGGCGCCGTCAAGCTCCGTCCCCGTCCCCAGACCGTCCAGCCTGTCGCTCCCGTCTCCCGCGGCTGTGGCCCCAAGGGCCCCGGATCTTGCGCTCAGTGCCTCGCCGACCCAAAGTCGGGTCTCTTCTGCCGCGCCCTGTCCGCCAACTTTGAGCGCAGCGGAGGAAGCAGCTCCGGAGGCGGCGGATGCTGCGGCGGTGCCGGTGCTGGAGGCGGATGCTGCAAGTCCGAGTCCGCGCCGCCACCCCGTCTCCCGGCAAAGGGACGCCTCGGCCTGAGCCTGAGCTGCGCAGAAGCCTACCAGACCCTCTCCAGCCATCGCAACTTTGAAAAGGCCGCCGACGACATTGGCTCTTGGCTTCCCAAGCTTCGCGCCGCGCCGAAGCCGGGCCAGACGCTGCCTTCGCCCTCCCGTCTGCCCATCGAGGTCGAGGCGGCGAGTATCATGAGCGTGCTCAAGGATTTTGACATTCGCTTTGGCAGAGGCCAGTAAACACTGTACAAAGTTTTTCCTCGCCATGGTTTGAGAGCGGGCATGCATATTTCTTTATGAGTCTGGGACGGTCATCTAAAAGCTCTGTTTCGTCTGACACACATTTGAGTTGTAAGACACGGTTGATGTGGACATGAGCACTTGAAAAATTGGGAGGCGGCGTTTTGGGTCCTTCGAGACACTACTTTGATATTTACACCCGAACTTCTAGGAAGGTAGGGCTACACATGAGGATGCTCTTTGAAAGCTTGCTCGTCGGAGGAGAGAGTAAGGGGGAAGGCTAGGTATCTAGTTTCGGTGCATCGACCTAGGCCAATGGGGCCGGACTGTCTCAAGTAGCACGCATTCTGATTGAGACCTTTGACGCTCAATGCGAATACATTACCGTTTCAATCATTTTAATGCTCCTACTTTGCCTCCCGTTACAAGCCTGCTTCAATGATCTCGTGACATGCTAAGAGAAACAAACGTACGCAGTCTAGTTCGTGACAAGTGTATTTTCAGAAATACTGGGCATGAAAAGGCATCTTACAACAATCATGAGAATTTAAAACACTATACACACGGGGAATAATGTACGGGGTATGATTGCAAATAAAAGTCATCTAGATTGGCCCAAGCCTGTAACCCATACCCAAGTCATAATCGTATGTAGAAAAGTGGTATATCCTCCATAAAAGGCCGAGTGCCTGCTACCATAATGTCCCTCCCTTTCTACTGCAGTCATCATCTAAAAAGGGGGAAACTAGAAATGACCCCCCGCAGCCTCCCAGTGTAAGGAAGCCCATGTAAATGCCAACTGAATATGCCCGCATCGTACTCATAAACGCGAAAATGTCAAAGAAAATATGGGAAAGAGCGCCCCCGGCGTCCGTAAATGAAAAGAAACATTATCGCGTATCGCGCTATGTAAATCATACTCTCAACGCCTCAGCTCATGGCGTTGAACTCATTCTGTCGGAGGAAGGACGTGGCGAGCTCATCACCGCCTTGTTCTGCCGCCTGGAAGAAATGGACTGCCACGCACATCAACGCGGGATCACTGCGAACATCCCCATCTTTTGAGCTTGGATCCTGGCCGGGATGTTGGGAGCCAGCAGAGCCACCGAGGCCCGATGCGCCTGCCGATGTGCGACTCCTGTCTCCGGGGTAGAGTCTCGCGCCCGGACCTGTGCGGCCGGAGGGACCAGCATATTTGTCCATGACAGCCTGTTTGAACACCTCGCGCGGCTTCGAGAGGGGCAAGGTGGTCCGCTCCACAAGCTCAGGGTTCGACAAGTAGAAAATTGCGAGCTCTCGCTGGGCCGTGGGTAGACCCTCTTTGGCGGTGATGGTCCACATCTTTCCTGCTTGTGCCAAGCTGTAGGCTGTCGTAACAGGAGGGGGCGATTCTGTCTCCAGTCGTTCAGCGTCTGGAGCAGGCGCGTCATTGGTCGTCTTGCGTGTACTCGTGTACACCCCTTGGACCTCGTCCGCCACTTCAATCATTGTTCGGCAGACCTCTTGCTTCAGATTCAAGGCGGCGAGGCCGGTGTCCCAAAACGCTGTGCCTTTGTCCGTGCTGTCAAGGATTGTGGGGTTGACGAATGCCGCAATGAACTGCAGATCACGGAAAAGTGTCTTTGGCCGAATAGACGCGTCCCGGAACAACGTTCGCAAGACGTTGGTGACGGCGTCGGTTGTTGTTGGGCTGCCAGAGGCGCCAGAACGAGTATCATTGTTACTCTGACGCATTTGACGGGGTCCAATAGCCGGCGGCAAAGTTGCGGGTACCTGCAAAAGGGTGTGCGAGCGTCTTCCTCTCACGTTGTCAATAGCCTCCTCCAGCGGATTCGCGCGGCTAGAGCCTGTGGGATCATCGACGGCGCCAGACATAAACTCTTGTCGGTTCCAGCCCAGCCTTGACCTTTTGCCGCTCGCCAAAGATGCTACGATGAGTTGCTGCAGCTCGTACAGGGCGTTCAGCTTGGCATGGGGATTGGGATGTACGCTGAACATGCGGAGCAAGCGTTGGAATGCCTTCTTGAAAGGAAATTCGGGAGTTGGCTCTTTTTGGCTGGCCTTGCTTCGCGCAGACAACGTGTCGCTTGTGGCCGAACTGTCGTTTCCTGGAGCGCTAGCAGTTTCCGTGGTCTCGGAGTTTT